TTTTTCAGCCAAAGCAATCAAACAGTCGCATCTAACATAAACAAAATAAAAATGGATGGAAAAACTTCTATTATAGCTTTAGCATTGAAAAAGCCCAACACATTTACCAAAAAAAAAAAAAATTGAATCAAGAAATAAAAGGAGCAAAGTTTGTCACCGGAACACAGTCGTCGACATCGTCAACACTTTGGCGGTGATTCTAGATGGTGAAACGACGTCTCTGTCAGACATTGAAGAGGAACCGCCCAAAAGCCAGAATCCACGACTCTAAGACTTTTCGGGAATCCAAATGATCTAACATTACATTCTCGCTGAAACAAACAAAATCCTTAAAATAACAAATCATAAGATAAGAAGAGAAGAGGAAAAAACAAATAAATGTGAAATCAACCAAACCCAAGGGTTGAGCGTGGAAATCGCACCAAAGATTTCATTATAGAGAAACAGGGGAGAGAAAGGAAACAACAAATGCAAACAAAGAGAGGGGGCGAGGGCTATGGAAGCTGATGAGGAACTGGCTAGAGGGCAACATCCCTAGAGGACAAAGGCTATTGGAAAGGAGGGAAAAAAAAGAAACATGATGAAATATGGAGAAGGAAGAAGTCGTCCCATTCAAACCCCTTTTTCAACCAAAACGGCCGTGTTTTGGTCGCAAATTTTCAACCAAATCGACCGTGTTTCGGCAAAACAGTGCAGCATTTTGAAATTTCTATATTACTTATGGATAACAAGTTAATATGGTCAACAAACTTTCTACGTCAAATACCACATTTCTGCCTAAAAACCTTTAAGTGATGTAAAACTAAATAAAATGTGCACACACAAAAAAAAAGGTGCAAGTACAATTGATATTGGATTGTAGATATGCTTATTTTAAACTTACAAGAACACAACTTAGTAAAATTTTTATTTCATCATACAGCACTCACTTTTACTCAAAAGTCATATTCTCTCATAAAACACACAAGGACCAAAAGGTACGATTTGTTGTGTTCAAAAGGTATCATTTGAACAAAAGGTATCATTCTTTGGTATGATTTATTTAAGCAGCATGGAGCATTTAATTTTAATTCACAAGGTATGATTTGTTGTGTTCCTCTGTTTCGCAGGCTAGCATGTCTTAGCAACAAAAGAGGAGCTTGGCCTTGCATATTACTTCAGTCATAGTTTATCTTATATTCTTAAAAAGCAGGACATAGGTTGGCACATACATCCAAAATATCAAAAACAACGCATATGAAACTGTAAGAGATGGTAGCACTGTCTTTCAGGAAATCAATACATATTTAGTAAATTTTTTACTATTGTAATTGTTACAACAATCTTACGCACACTTACTCAGCATTCCACGGTTCAGGACCAAAAACCCTTAGGTAGATCAAAGGATTCATAGTCCCAGCATCAACCTGATCAATACAACTGAAACTCAGTGAGGCAAAAGAGTCATGAACATTAGTTTATATAGGTAGCAAAAATATAAAAACTGCAATAACACCCAAGTACAACTTTTAAGCAGAAACAACATAGACACTATAAGTTACTTAGTTTTCATTAATATGCAACAACATGAACAATTATCTTTTCATTAATATGCAACAACATGAACAATTATCTAAATAACTATAAGCTAGTATCTCCCTTTCTTTGTGGGAAATATTTTCAATCAAGATAAAGATAAGAAGAAAATTGGTTTTTTATAGCATTAGAAATAATCAATGATTAAAAGAGGGGAAAAAAATTTAAACAAGAATGACGTTTACGTCAGTATTGCTACCTTGCAGTATGGCAAATCCAACTGATGCCCAATACTCCAGTATCATCAATGCTTTGGCATGCATAAATATTATAAAAATATATGGCGTTCAATCATGACATTGTTGATGATCGAAGCAACACATTTAGCAGATTCATTTAACTTCCATTACTGTCATTATACCTATCAACAAAATCTTTATAAAAAAATGATGATTTTCGTCTACCAAAAAACTTGACAATTTCTTATCATAGCGCCACAATAAAATTAATTCAAAATTTTATTTGAGCCAATTTTAGAACTGATCACATCAACTTGCTATATTACTATGTCTTACAATTCCCTATGAACAAAGTAGCCGAAATAATCTACATTATACATGGACAAGTGTGTAAACGTGAAGGTCCATTTTAATAAACAGTTGAAGCGAAGAATGGAATGGCTATGGTGGAAGAGTGACCTGGAAACGTTGAATTGCTTGCTGGAAAGTGAGAACCGAGGGTTTCTGGCGCTCGGGATTTGAATCCTTTGAGGAGTGCTGAGGAGTGGCGGAGGTACAAATCACAGAGACGGAAGCTCCGGCAAATTGGTGGCGGAGAGCGGCGTCGGGGTGGCGGTGGAAACGGTTAGAGTGGAAGAAGGATAGCTGAGACGGCCGCAGTCTGAGAACAGAAGCGCCATGGCTCTTCTTTTCAAGTTTTTGGAAGAGAGAGAGTTGAGCAAAAGTGAACAGAAAAGAAAGGGAAAAAAAAAAGAAACAGAGTAAGTTCGTTTTAAAGAGCAAACAAGCTTAAAGGATGACAGTGGTGGAAAATGAAAATCCTTCTGAAACGTATTTTCTCATACCACAGAAACATGCGAAGATCGTCAGATCGGCTCCTTCAGGCGTGTTGATCGTGACAATGGAGAAGAAAGGAAGTTAGAGCGAGAGAGAGAAATTTGCGATGAAGCAAATCGGTGAGCGACGGATCCTTCGATAGAGAAATTGTCTCCGATCCTTTCCCTTCGATCGTCGGAGAAAATTTCGGCGATCCTTCTTGCAAATTGACAGTGACTCGCTTTCTGAAGAGAGATATGACACACAGATAAATAACCGATAAGGAATATCGAGCAGCGAAACTCGCCGGCGACAGTGACGTTGAGACATGCCTGACGATGGAGCCTTACGGGATGGAGGCAAAGGGAAGATAGAGAGAGAAAGTAGACGGATTTGGGATTGGAGGTTTTAGGACAAATGAACGATTTAAAGCTACTTGTCGCTTTACATTAACAAAAAAGCTACTAGCCGTTTTTTTTCTTTTCTTTTTTGAATTTTGAATTTGGGAAGGGAGATAAGTTTAATCACTAGTTGATTAGCAAAAAAGAGTTTAACTGTTAGTTGTAGATTTGTTTTTTTTTTCAAAAAAAAAAATTGTAGATTAGTTTTAGTAGAAAAAAAAGTCAATTGTAGATTCACAAATCAGCAATACCCGTAATCATTTAAAAATTTACAATAAGTTCAAAAATAAATTATTGTGTAGCTGTAACTTAACATTTTCTATTTTAACTTTACTCTGTAAAGGATAGTGGACTTCGTGTATTGTTGATTTAATCCAGATTTTGTATTGAACGCATGGCGGTGAGCCAATAGTTTTTAGTTATTAGCTGGCTGGGCAGCTCAAGCGAAAAGGTAAGAAATAGATCTACAAGTTCAGGAAATACAAGATTCTATAGATGCTCTCCTCAATTTATCCGAGGATGGTCTAGATTAATGAAAAAAAAAAAGCATTGATGATTATTTTGGCAACCGGGGAGAGGCTTCCTCTTCCGGCCCCTTCCCGGCTACTGGATCACTCCAGTGTTTTGGGTACAACGGACCCTCCGCTATCCATTGCAGCAGAGTTGTTTCAACGATCATTTTCATACACAGGTTTCCTCTTGTTACCAACTCTGATTCCAAGGTTCACTAGTGTTTCCTTTTTCGTGATGAGTTTTTTACTATCCAGACTTCCCCTTGAATCACATGATCACCTCTTATTCTTCTAGAGTGTGGACTAGGTTGCAATCTATTTTAGGCATAAACAAAGCCATCCATTCTGCTGCCAAACCATCAAAAAAAAGTTTAAAAAAGACGACAGGAAGATTTCGAACAGAACCCCGAATAGGTGCATCTTATATGCCAGATCATGAATTAGTAACTGCATCCAATCTCCAAAAGATCCCAATTGTTTCCGGTAGAGTGCGACTCAATTGACTAAGATGCTCTCCCAAACGGTCTATTTGGCATCGTTCCTCCCCTTGAAGGGCCGGGCTTCTTAGCCAAAAGAAAGAACAACAAAAAAGGATGCCACCGAAAACTCTCATTTGTTGAAGCGGAGCATAGTACGAGAGAGGGCGGTACGGAAAGAATTGAGTGATTCACCTAAGACTTCAAAGCGTTACGGTTGTGCTTCTTCAAGAAGGTGGTAAGACCCTTGCAGAGTTCCCTAACAGCATAGAGCTTGGGAAGATCTCTTCTTATAGCTACTATAGCTAATCTAAAGTGCGTACCTTAGCTCAATCCTTGGATACTAAGCGTGGTCTTATTTTTAGCCTCAGCTTGGTGCTAAAATAATTAGTAATCCTAAACTCCGCAGTACCAATCAAAAAGACGGTTGTTGTTACTGGACGAAGCTTCAGCTATGCCTCGGGCCGTGAGTAGTACTCTGTACTTTATTTTTGGGGTAGGAATTCGTAGTGGGACGTTCTTTTCATAGATCCTTCGAGCGAGAAAGGAAAGAGAAATAGGGTCTTATGGAGGGAGGGGGAACATTCGGGCCAACAACCTGTCCACCTTAATCAAGTAAGAGTTTAAACATTCACTAAGCTAGCCCTCATGTTGCTGTGCCAGTTTCCCTGCCTGGGAGAAAGAAGGCTTTTTTCTTTTCATATGATCATGCTAGGTCAATCAAGTGAGAGTAGACCAGCTGCCAATTTTCTTGCGAGACACAATGTCCACGGCTCGCTCAATTAGAGCACTAACTACTTCAAAGGCCAAAGACGCTTTTAATCACTCTGCTGGGACGATCTGAATAGGTGGCATAGTGCAGTCCTCACCGATGTGGTGTCCAGTCACAACCTAAATAAGAAAAAGATTTTCCTTTTACTATAGATTTTGAACCTCGCAAGACGAGAGTCGGCTCGAGGATCAAAATCCTTTCTCAGCTGATCGAAAGTGACGATGCAACAAAGGCTATCTGCATCCTCTCTCAATTTTAGAGCTTGAAAAATGGATTTGTTCTTGTTCCTAACTCCTCTCCAGGTAGTTCCCAATGTTTGGAATAGTGCTTCTAGACGAAGAGCGGAAGATAGAGCAAGAGCTACAACCGGGAGGGGCGCCAGTCTTCCTCGATTCCCTTATGTATGTAGGGCGAGACAAAAAACGTCCGGCCGGAAATAAAATATGTACAAACATCTTACCAGGGAATGTTCGTTCATGATTCACACCTGTGAATCACTTCACTCGCTAGTTTTCTTTTTCTTTTTATCTCCAATTAAAGTTTTAGGGGGCACATCCCCCTGAACCCCTACACAACAATTTGCTTCTCGTATCGACGAATTAGAAGAGATGTCAACCGGCAACCGCATTCGGAAACAACGATTAGTGGTTATTGGTACTATCACTGCACAGCAAGCAAAGGATTGGAATCCTCGTGCTTGAGTAGAAGTGGCTTCCTATCTTCGCAAGTTTTCACTAGGTTTTATCTGGAAGGCGGGAAGATCTCTATTGGAGCATTTGGGTGTCCCAAACTTGCTAAGCCTAGCAGCGCTTACTTGAACAACGGTTATTCCGTTTTCAGCTGATTCAATACAATTGATTCTCTAACAACCGATTCTGACACTGACCGAGAGGGGCGAAACAATGAATCAATTATCCAATACCAGATCCATCTGTCATAAATCTTTCTAGAATATGACTCCCTCTACCCATGTTGAAATCAAATTCTTTGTCATCCTCCTAAAGTCCAGAAAGAGCTTTCTTCCCCGCCCTAACCCCCATTCATGAGGGGCTTGACTCAACGGATCTCTATGGCCTTTGAAAGGCTTTTTCAGATTTGATTGAATACAGTTGAAGATTAAAATTATTTTGATGAGAGTCTTTCATTCATCCATTCAGTAAAGCGCTCCAACCAAAGGGGCACATCGCGCAGGAAAAATCTTTCACTCACTGAGAAGTGAAACCCTGTGACTAGATCATCCTGAAGACGGGCGCCCGTAGGGCGAGGCTTCACTTTACCTTCTAACCATTAAATTCCATATCTTTAGAGTAAAGTCCCGCTTTGTATAAAAAGATAGAAGTCTCGTTCCCCCGCCTTGGAATAGGATGAAAGAGGATATTATAGGTAGGCCCTCATATTCGAAGCGCTTCCAGAAGGTATTGCCCCAGCAGACCTTAAAAAGTGGGCATTATTGGATCAATCAGGGGTGCTCGATGAAACGATCCAGATTCCACACTATGTTGTGGGCTGGGGAGAAAGATGCTCTGTGAAGCTGGGCGTAACCGAAACACTTTCTTTTCCACCCAAAGCCACCATCCAGATTCAGAAGCAGAAGCAGAATAAGCTAATGGATGATGTTATTTTTTATCTTTAAACCTTGACGTCTAGCTCAATAATTCAAATATTCGGCTCTAGTAAGACTTGTAAGACTTCTTCCCGCGTGGAGCTAGCATGGACACTCGAGCGGGATCAAAGGGGATGAGTTATTCTCGTGGCTAAATGCCCCTCAAACGAGCAATCGAAAAGATTCTGGAGCATCCTCGGGTTTAGGTATTGTAGGAGTGCTAATGCGCGCCCTTACGTTTTCTTTGCTTGCTCCGCAGTATCCTTGCTAACTAGAAATGAACCTTCACGAGTTGAGTGTCTGCTTCTTCCGACCTCTATCCAAACAAATCATCGAGGAAGTCATGTAGGTTCCGGGTAAGGTATCAGATTAGGGACCTCTCTCAACTAGCGGCCTAAGGAGAAAAATAAGTTCCAGAGGCATCTTCCATTCATATCGATTTGGGTTTTTTTGCATCATATTTTGATCTACCTCTTCTTCGATCCGGAATTCCTAGCAAAGTAATAAATACATCTAGAAAGAAGATATTCTCTAGCCTAGAGGAAAGAGAACAACTAGGATCAACTTCAATTACAGAGCATTCTGCTTCCTGGCGAACTGAGAAATTCTTTGATTCATTCAAGTAGTGCTATGCAATCTATTAGTACAAGGCTGGCTATTGAAGTCAGAGACTCTACTTATGCTTATGGAGGGATGTATGGACTACTTTTAGGCTACCGACACCACTCATCTGCGCTGACACATGCCTTTACTGATTGCAGGTTTTTTCCTCTTTCTTTTTGATGCTATGATCACATAAAAACATAAACTTTGAGGTTTTACGCAGGTGTGTCCGCACCCCCTTGAGTGGACGAGAAAGAAAGGATGTCTCAGAGTAACCCCCCAAGTTCCAGACCCAGGAGTCAACTTAAATCAATGATACACGAAGCAAATATAATTACCTCGATAAGATATGCCCTTCGTTGATTTTCCATTTTCTATTGCTTATCTTTTCTTTAATCTCGGGCGTTTATGTGTGATTCGTCATTTGGTTCCTAAAACGTGAGGTGACTGAGTTAAGTAGGTCAAGCTGTGTCAAGTCAGAAAAAATATACCCCTATAAGAGAAAGTCACGCAACCCGCTTGAAACTAGTCATGTCTTCGCTGCTTTTCTAAGAAGTTCCATTCCTATAAATGCCCACTCTCTTTCTTCTAGTCGAGTTACCTACCAAATAAAAAGCATGTTCAGGAAGACCATCTAATTCTCCAAAAAGGATCAATTTAAACCTTCTAATTATTTCTGCTAGACTAACATATTTCCCTGGGGAATCGGTAAATACTTCTACTATTGGGCTTGATCAAATGGGCTAAAACACTACCATGGGAGAAAAACATTATTGTTTAGTTTCAGTTGAAGAAGCCCCTTTCAGAACTCACTTTGTTCCGGGCAGAACACTTTTTAGTCTACTGTTTGTTTTCCAAGCAGGGATGCCCATTGTTCCTTGCCCTAACTCTTCTAATTTCCCTTTGCTTTCTTTATTACTTATCACACGTGTCCTGTTTTAGCGAGTTTCCACAAGGGTAACCGGTTAGGTTGACTTTGTCAACGCTACTAAGGACCGGGTGAAGAATGAAAAACGTCTGCTAACCTACATATTCTCTCTCATTATTTACCATTCCATCATCGTGCGAGGATGGAAAAGATAAAGAGAGATTTCCTGGAAAGCTCAAGCTGAGAAAGTGACAATCCATTGAATAAGATCAGTTCAAGGTGAGAAGAATGAAGACTCTAGACGAATGCTAGCTCAGGAGTAGGAAAAGGTATTACATAAGCATGCTTTAGGAAGTTTCAAAAGACGACCTTAACACAAGGAGAATGGATGAGTAGAAGGCACTCTAGTGGGATCCTCGCGGATAGAAAAAGATTGAAATGACTGTTCAAAACATAACCTATACCTTTGAAAGAAGATTTTCATGGCAAAATCATGTAAAACGTCTCGATCAACACGTCTAATTGATCAGAACCGCGGTTTGTTGAAGAATACAAAGGCAAATAGTCCAGTATTTGCTGCTGCAAGTGAGAATCAAGAAGGCAGCCCCAACTCTAGCTTCAGATGCCTCCGTAGAGTAGGAGAATGCTCAGGTCCGTCTACGTGTGATTCCTTATTTGGTTCCTAAAACGTGAGGTGAGCTGCTGATTCTACTCTTGGAGTGACTTAACATAATGCTTCCAAAAAAGGCCTGATTTCGAGAGCTACTACAGTTCTACAATTTCCAGTTGACCGAGAAAGCCGACTATAGATACACCCCACTTGCGCTTTTAGCTTAGGTTTCTTAGTTAGGAACTTGCCTTTTAGTTAGGACTTGTCCTATTTGGTTTGTTAAAGGGTCAACCGGCCCAGGAGACACAAGTGGCGGAACGACACCTATGAACTCAGATAGCATTGTGGCATACCTTTTCATCTGAACTAGGCATGCTTCAAAGTGGAACAAAACAAATTAGTTATAGTTTCTATGAGTCGATAGGAGAAGCACCGCTCAAAGGAACGTTCGTGAAAGCCGGTCATTTTTACCTTGTTTTATTAAAGGAGTGGCCTTTCCGGTCTCGGTTGGTAGCAGTACGCATCTCTCTCGATTTCGGTAGATGACTTGTCGCTACTCAACTTGGTCGTCCTTCCACTTTTTGAAGAAGGTTCTGTTACTAACATGTTTACTTCCATTGTGGGTAATGTATTTGGGTTCAAGCTTAAAATCTCGTGCTAAAAAGCGTGGAGATTCGAGTCCTCTTCATGGCTAATATTGAATATTGAGAATGCTCATTAGTCCACAATCTTCATGCAAAAGCAACGAAACCTCCTCGCAAAGGAAACCCTCATTTCGCCCCAGGTACTCTGACTCCCACGAGGCATAAACCTGAAAACAAAACAAAGTTCGTTCCCTTTCGTCGAGTATGTAAAGTAGGCATACGAACCACTTTTGCGTCTTGGGTAATAGGGATGCTCTTAATAACGTTCAATTTGTTAGATGTGATGGAAACCATATTGGCGAGGAACTGAAAGGGGCGTTTAGCCTCCCGAGCGAACATGATAGGATAATTACAAATCTACGATAAGCTGTTATTAAACCAATTTAATGCCTTGACCGCACTTCCCTCAGGTCGAGCAGGCGAACTTCTGGGATGTCGTTAGCTCGACGGCGATTACATTATGTTTCCCAGACTAAGACTACTCAAAAAGATCCGTAGTCTTGCCCAGTCGCTTCCTCATATGAAGAAAGAGAGGAAGGAATTATATTCTTTACAGCCCTTTCCAGACCTCTGTACGAATGATTGATTGAACGATGAACCTGGACGACTGGGAGAGAGAAGATTATCAAAGAATTTGTAGTAGTGAGAGTCAAAATGACTGACCGTGATCAGTGACCAGAAAGTCTGCTGAGTAGTTGTCTATCTAGGGTGATCGATCTACATCTTTCCCCATAGCCTTGGGGCTGTGTCTTGATCTCCTACATGCGAAATCTAAGGAATCTTTTTTTATCCTATAGAGATTCCCCTTGGTCATATTCCACATGTTGATTGGCCAGGGTCTTCTTCGGCTAATGATACCTCGATCCTGAAGCCTTCGGAATATCTTTTTGATAGGTGCTTCTATCTGTATGGGGAATTTGCTGCTGATAGATCCGGATAAGGGGTAATCAGATTATGAGGGGAGGAGATTTCACTAGCGCCGATCTTTTTATGTTTTGGCCACGTCCGTTTTCACTCCAAAGAAGAAGGTTTAGATTTTTCAATCTTATGTTGTGAGGGATGTGACCTATGTTAAGAGTCGACCCAGTCTACGAATCTATTCTAACTATCAATGAATCCCAATAATTTAGGCGGGATGGGGGGTTTAGGACAGAGAAATGGAATAGAGGAGGTACTAGCCAGCAGAGGAAGAAGCACCTTGCTCCAAGTGATCATATTTGTAGCTCTTATGCTCTTTCTCTTCTTCCATACCCTCAAGTGGAACCATGCTACAACGGGGCTTTCTCTACAGTTCTTGAAGCTCCTCTACCTATGGTCAAGCTGGCCACTTCCACCCATTTTCTTCAATAATTGTGTTGACTTTGGCATAGAACCCAAAGAATGCAGGAACAATCTAGCCTTATCGCAGTCCATATCCTCCATATCATGAAACGGTTCCTTATCAACCAGGGCAGGCAGCCCACATACATGAAGAGAAGAAGAGATGAGGGATTCCTCCCATCCTAAACCTAAGAGATATTTCTTTCTTATCGTCGTCTAGCAAATAGATTTAGTTAGCAACAAAGCAAGAGAATCGCAGCTGCTAAGAGCTAAAAGATCTTTAAAGTCGGGCCGAGAATCACGGCTGGCATAGAAGTCTTTCGCGCACAAGGAGATGCTGCTACTTTTCTGATTTACAGACCAACCAGTGTCATCTTGTACTCAAGTAGTTGTTAGATCAAATCCAATTTTGGATCACTTTTTTTGGGGTTAATCTGATCTTCTTTCCCATGCATTTCTTAGGGCTTTCGGGTATGCCACTTCACATTCCATATTATCCATATGCTTACGCTGGATGGAACACCCTTACTAGTTTTGGCTCTTATATATTAGTAGTAAGAGTTGTAAATGATCCTTGTTACTATGCTGCAAAATTTATCATTTTAAGTAACATTAAGATCTTGACAGATGAAGTTAATGGTGGTTTATGTAGTCACATTTCTTGTCATTGTAATAGGGTTATCCACACATTAGCGAAGTTATCATTTTCTTTGGAAGAAAATCGCTATTGATTAAGGAATATCCTAGTTGTATTATTGGTTTTTTAAGTGCCGTCATGGCTTTGATTGAGTAATGCAACATAATTTCCCTTCAAAAAAAGATGTATAACAATAGTTGTAATGATTATTGGATGTGTTAGTTTCTAAACTTTGAGCACAGTGATATGTTGATCCTTAAATTTTTAATTTTAAAATATTAGTCATTGAACTTTTAATTTTCAACAGTTTTAGTCCCTGACACCATGATGATGTTTGTAACAAGTTCTAATAGTAACAGCGAGAAAAGTTTGCATATAACTCAACTTTTTTTGCAAAATTTTAAGTTATCACGAGATAAACGCATTGTGTTTGTTAAATTTTAAAAGTCATTTGTCAATTCTAATCAAGGACTACAATAGCCAAAAAAATGAAAGTAAGTGATTAATGCGCTATAATTAAATTTTAAGGATCAAAATGTCGCTATGGTCAAAATTTAAAGACTAATAGTGTCGACTATCAATTACAATAATTGTAAGATTATGGCTGGAAGACTACCGGAGTGGCAAGTGAATGTGGAAGCCAAAGCTCTTCTTCATGGTCCATAGGCTCGTGATGTTGGTTTCAATCTCCAATTTATGGAGTCTAATACACATTTTATTTTCGACATGTCGTCGCAAATTAGTCGTCGTAAAAAATCTGAAGCAAATAATATATTTGCAACGACATAGTTTTGAAATGCCGTCGCTAATATATTAGCAACGACCGTCGTCACGAATAAGTCGTCACAAATGTTCCATCGAATATGTCATTGATGATGACGTGTCATATTGTATTTGCGACAACATAAGGTCGTCGTAAAAGTCTTTAAAACGTTTTGTGACTAAATTGTCATCGCTAATTATGTGGACTATTTGCGACGACACTTTAGATATGTCGTCGCAAATATTATTTTCTTTTTTTCGTACTTTCCTAATAATATTAATTAATAATGATATAAATTTGAAGAAAATTTAATAATAAAATAGAACAATAAAATTGATATAAAATAGTCAACACAATAATAAGAGCAGTCTTAAAAAGTAAATTAATCAATAAATACTACAAAGTGTTAATAATAAAAAAACAAAAAAATATATTTTAATCTCCTAAATTAGCAGCATCGTCACTCTCGTTCTCGTCCTCGTCTTCTTGATCGATATAGAGGTTGTTCAGTCTCTCGAACTATAAAAAACTAGAAATAAAGAAATTTGATTATATAGAATTTGCCGAATAAAAAATACCGTTCATGTGTTATAGCATATAATACCTGACTGACAATGGACCAGGAGTCTCGTCAGATCGAGTGAAGGCTGTGATCCTCCTGCAGAGCCGGCGCATGTAGCTATTGGGCCGGATATCATGACTCTATTAATATAATTAAATTTTATTAATAAAATTTTGGCAGAATAACGACTTATTTTTCTTATTATCTAAAAATCCAAACCTGCAAAAAACTAGTTTTTAATGTATTTCGACACACCATAACTGCAAGATGTGCCACCGAGACAAGTCATCAAAATTTTTAATCATAACCTAAATCAAATTACAAGTAGATCTCATAAAATAACATCCTAAAAAATTCACACACAATTTATACCAAATTTCAATATTCTCAAAATTCATAATCCAAAATTTAATATCTATAATATAAACTTCAAATTATATACTAATTCTAAAATCTATAAATTAAAATTCAAAATATAAAATCTATAATCTAAAATTCTAACAACAAAAAACCCAAACATTTTAAACTTAAGAATACAATAAATATGTAAAAAACTTACAAAGTTCAAACCCACTAAAACGGGGGCTGAAAACGGTGAAGGTGGGGCGGCGGCGGAGGAGGGCGGCAGCTGAGGAGGGCGGCAAGGAGAGGGAGTATTTTTTATACTTCTTTTGATGAAAAACACTTAAAATGATTAAAACTCATGATAAATGTTGATTTGGTGAGGATTTAGAAGAGAATAGAGGGAGGTTTCGGGGTTTAAAGTCGGAAAGCTTGGGAGAGGCCGAGAGAGAGAGAGAGAGAGAGAGATCCAAAAAAATAGGGGAGGAGGTTCTGGTCGTGGGTATATAGACAGAGTTTTTTGTGACGACAGATAAAATTATTTGCGACAACAATGTCGTCGCAAATATAACTTATAAAACTATTTGCGACGATATCTGTCGTCGCAAATATAACTAAATTTTTAACATTTATACGAATGTTCTAGAATTATTTGTTGCAACGACGTTGTTCGCTATCGTCAAAATTACGTTTTGGGAACCGCCCAATTTCCCCGCCGTTTTTTTAGGGAATTTAAAATAACTATTTGCGACGAGGCATATTAATGTGGTCGCAAATAATATTTGGGAACCGCCAAATTGACCGCCTTTTTACTCAGAGAAAAAAATAAATGAATTATTATTTGCGACGACAAGTGTAGTCGCAAATAAAGAATGTTTTGCGACGAATAGTGGTTGCAAATATTGTTATTTGGGTGGCAAACGTTGGAGCCAGATAACATTTATCGCCAACTACATATTTGTGACGACTTGTGCATTATTAACAACGACAACATTCTCCTGTTATACGAATACTATTTGTGACGTTATGTCATCGTAAATAGTTAATTATTTGCGACGATAAATGTCGTCGCAAATAATTTCGTCGCAAATAGAGCAAATTGTAGTAGTGTTTCTTGACGGCGAAGCGAGGTCCGAACTGGCTGGACCTACCGAGAGACGTGACTCTGAACATTCTGTGTCGCTTGGGCACCATAGAGATCCTGACGAGTGCTCAGATGGTGTGCTCATCGTCGTTCGAAATCTGCAAGGATCCTCTGCTATGGCGGACCATCGACATCCGCCGATTCGGTCCTCTGCGGCCCCTTTTTGGCCTCGCCTTGCAGAAGATCTGTCGCTGCGCCGTCGGCCAGAGCTCCGGCGAGCTCGTCGAGATCATCCTCGGGGACGTCGCCACTAATGAACTGCTTAAGAACATTGCTCGGAAGTACTCAATTTTTCTCTCACTCCTTTCTTTCTTTTGGATTAACAGTGATTTTGAAGAATGTAATGTTATATATTTATATATATATATATATATATGTATTTCTTTAATTAGTATTGTTCAATTAATGACGATTGAGATTTTGTGATTTGACAATTATTTTTTGATATGCAATTATTTATAAACTTTATTTCAATAGGCTGACCTCTTTTTAGAATAAATTTTTTTTTTCTTTTTCCTCATAAATAAATACATTAATAGTTATTTGAATGTCACTTTTAAGTCCCAAAGCTTGTTTGAGTTTCTATTATCACTGCTTCGAGTTTGAGCTAAAATAAGTCATGACTCATGACCTTCTAATTTATCTTCGCAAGTTTGCCTAAAAGATGTAATGATTTTGAGAAAAACCAATACATGAGACAAGACTCTGTTATGGTTGTTAATCCTGCCTAATAGATAGTTTATGAAGCGTTTAAAGGGGGTACCCTCTCATCTTTAGTGTTTTATTACATTACTATTATCAATCTCTAATCATCTCATTTCTACTGTTTGCTATCAATTAAGTTAAAACAAAGTCATTTGCTTCTCTCAAATTGCAAAAAGTAAAATAAATAAATAAACAAAGAAAAAGGAAACATTATGGGCCTTTTTTTTGCGGGTTCGAGTGTAGAACTTGAGTTAAAAAGGAAATTTATGTTAGAGAAAATACAAAAAAAGTTCAATTTAAACTTTTATGAGAGAAAACACCAGAGAAAACATCTTATACTCTAGTTTTGCACTCACTAAAACATTAGAAGCTTCTTTTACGGCTGCCAGATCATTTGGCTCTGAAATTTGTTTTCATCCAATTGTTAGTTGATACAGACCGTTTCATTGGTGTCTTTGGCTCAACAATTTCTACATCTTAGTTTTTACTGCTACTATCTTTGAAAAATCTTCTCATTTGTAGTTACATTTCATACTTTGTCATTTTGTACTTGTTAGCATATTGGAAGCTTCTTGTTGAGTGTGTAGTTCACATCATGTGGGCTTAAATCTCCATGTGGGTAACTGTTAGTTGACACAGATTGTTTCACGGATGTCTTTGGCTTAATCATTTTTTCGGCCTAGTTTTTCAATACTATTTTCTTTGAGTAAAACTCCATTTTTTAGTACAATTGGATATAGATGTAAACTAAGTCACGAAACACGTGGTCTCCAGATTTTCAAAGATTCGTTGGTTAATTGTTCCAATTGATACGCTACAAAAGTAAATTTTGTTGAGACTTCAACCTCTTAGTTCCAATATTTGATGCTGAAGATTCATTCTTACAATGTCTTCAAGCTCTTCTTCCCTCTGATAATCTCCAAAACATTTTGATATGATCTCTCAGTTCCCTCTTCTGACTTCCATCCATAGCAATACATCGATGCAAATTTTCTACGCAAATTTTAGTTACCTTGTCTCTATCTTTGCTAACTTATGCAGTTCTCTTCTTTCAAAAAACTTTTCAAACAGATCAAGTCGGATCAAACACCTTCACCTTATTGGTGGCTACTTCGCAAAAGATGGATTGGGTAAAGCAGTTTCCAAACTTCCACTGTTGGAAGAGCTTGAACTCTCACACTGCACATTGTCAACAAGTTCTTTAAAACTCGTTGGACGCAGGTGCCATCATCTGAAGTCATTAACATTGAGCTCCCACTGCATAATCACGGTCCCTTACATAGGTCCTGACGAGGAGGCGGAGCTTAATAAAGAGGCAATGGCTATTGCTGAGCACATGCCTGCATTACGCACTCTGAAGCTTTATGGAAATACGCTGACTAATGTCGGATTGCAGGCTATTCTTGATGGTTGCCCTCATCTCGAGTCACTTGACGTGCGCAAATGTTGCAACCTCAATATTGGAGGTAATTTTGGGAAAGGCATTGTGAACAGATTAAATATTTTTTTGCGGCTTTCTTGTGCATGTTGTGTATTCGTTGAGACGTGTCATCATGATTGGCCATCATTTGAAGATTACTTATATTTTGTTTCTATTTTGCAGGTGACGACTTTCCATCTGGCATTTCTGGAATTGATTTCAGATGTGATGATCCTGAAGTACTTCCCACTATGGTATGTTGAAATTAGAAGCACGGCGACTCCTTCGACTATTATATGGTTTTACCTGTTGATTACAGGGAATGAATGTGGAATCTTCTCAAGTGACTTTATCAAGGTTCAATACTCTATATGTTTATTACATCATCCCGCATTTCGTTCTTCATTTAAGCTTAGTTATGTTTTGCATTGGGAGAGGTAGTTTTGAACCAGGCTAAACCAATAATTTTAGAACTTACTCCCCCATAAATTCAGGTAGTTTAGACCCATTTTCTACAGTAAAAAACATAACCACATTTCTGGTTTCCTCACAACTCAACACACATCCAAACTCACACTTTTAACAAAATCACACTTTTAACAAAATATCTAAACGTCAGTTCGGACTTTGAGTTCAACCACATTTTTCAATCTTCATAGTTTAAACCACCACATTTCAAATGGCCCCTACATATGATTGTAGTCTATTTGGTTTTTTCTTTTAACTCTTGTTTGCTTGATGGCTTGGCTTGTATTATATTCCTGTTCTTTGTATAACATTTCCTTAGAATGACGATCGAGCACTTAAAAAAAATAGAGAAGAACTATAAAATACTACATATAAAATTTGTGATTTGAGTGGTATTCACGAGCAAATTTTAGTCAGAGATACTACTATTAGCTTTACTAAATCACATTCTACTATAGGAACCGATGTTTTGCATCGTCAGTAGAGCACAAAAATATCAATTGTAATTAGCTGATATTTAAATATAATATATAATATATATTACTCAGGGTAATCTTGGTACTTTAAAATTTTAACCTGTGGTTTATACTATTTTCTTGATTAAAAACGTTTGTCAGGGATACGTTAGAAATTTCGAAAAGATGAAATTACCTAGCGTGCCATCAAAATTGAAAAATTTTACATTTAAGCCAATGATCATAGATGGATTAGATATTTTCAAGTGAATTGAATAGCATGGATATTAAGTTTATACCATAGGGTGGCAAAAATGTAAGCACCATATGAGTGCCATTTCTAGATTTCTCTCTTTGAAAAATACAACGTGAAAACATGATACTTTAAAGGAACACATGAGATATTAAGACTCCGTTCATTTTACCGATTCGAGTTTAAAATTTGAGTTTTGTTACAGTAAAAAGTTCTCATAAACAATCACATCTATTTTTTTTACTACAGTAAAAAACTCTCACATAAAGTCACATATCAACTGGAATCAGTAAACTAAACGGACCCTAAAGTACTTTTCCGTAGTTTTATTTATTAAAAAAACATACATGGCGAATTGCTTATGGTGTTCAAATAGTAAGCGATTATTGGTGGCCTCTGTTGGGGTAAGATTTAGTCCCTTAATCTTGACCATACACATGTGAAGTCAATAAAGTGAGATGGAGATGGGTGGAATATTGACGAACTTATGTTGATCAAGATTGACAATGGTTTAGTTTGGTAGTGCTGTAGATTTTAAAAAAATTATTTTTAACTGTGCTGAAGGAAGAAGCAGTTGTTATAAAAAGCAGCTGAGTGTTTGGTAACTATAATTATAGTAGCTGTAATGGTTCTAAAATCAGTATAATAACGTTTGATCAATTATGAGGTTGAATTGCTGTAAATAATTAAAAATTACGACTATCTTATTTTATACTATAATATAATATATATAATTACAATATAATATATATTTACTATTATCTTTAATATAATAAAAAACTATTATTATATAATATATTGTATAATTATGATATAGAATATAATAATAATAACTGAAATAATTAAAAATGACGATTATATTATATTATACTATAATATAATATATATAATTACAATATAATGTATATTTATTATTATATTTAATATAATACAATAAAATTATTATTAAATAGCATATTATATAACTATAATATAGAATGTAATAATATTATTAAAATAGTTAATATAATTACAATACTATAAAATG